AATCCGGAGATTGATTCTTTAGGCCCTTGCCTCACACTGGTTAGATACCCGAAATGTAATTTCGGGGTTGTGCTGGAGGCGAACTGCGCCAAGAACAAGGTGGATAGCTCCGCAAAGCTCCCGATCGACCCGGGTTGTAACGTTCCGAACCATTCCTGGGCTGGTCCCCGAAGGGTACTGAAGAACAGCCTGCATATTGCCGCGTCGGTGGCCCCCAATAGCATGAGGCCACCCTGGTAACTCCTCAGGTGTACGTGGGGATCTCCCACCCCATCGTATGCTAAGCCGGTCGAGGGACGGCAGTCTTTCAGAATTTCGGCGTTCATGATTTCCCTAGTAAAGGGAGAGGTGATCCCAACCCGTGCTGGCGGGGTTTGTTGGGGCGCCCGATTGACTTGCTCTCTGAGCTCAGTCATCTGTCTCCTCATTTCGGCCATTTCGTCGTCTTGGGCCGTTCGGGGAGTGTGTGGTATTCTAGCATCCGCATATTCCGGTATTCTGTTTTGGGGAGGAGCAGCTATGTTAGCCCTCCTCCGGATGAAGCGTTCCCCATCCCTCTGGATATACTGGAAGTTTTGTCCAACGGGATCTACCATGGGGGTAGGTTCCCTGTATCCGTTTCGAGGGGCGGACGGGGTTCGGCTGGTTGGTGCTCCTCGTCTGGGGGTATGGGCCCTCCAGTGGTTCCTGCGGCGTTCCTCGGAATGAACTGAGGCCATCGTGGTCTCAATGTCCTCCTCTTCGTCAAAAGATGGCATGGGACGCAATGGGGATGGTGGCTCATGAGTTTCATCGGTGTAGCCCTGTTCCTGTTCGTCCGCCATGCGTTGCATGGCCTCCGCCATCTCCCTCATCAACTGAGGGTTCATCCTTACATCCCGGGGGATGATTTGCTCGAACTCCCGAGTGGCACTGCCACTGGCGTGTCCTTGCCTGGACCACCCTTCAGAGGATCTATTGCCTCCTCGGCCTCTGGATGCAGAACTCGGTGTCGCGGTAGTAAGTCTAGCCATCTTTAAGAAAAAATGGTGCCTAGATCTCGGCTTTGTCTGGACTTTTAGTGTGGTTTCCCACAGACGGCGCCAATGTTGAAGTTTATTCCCGAAGATCCGAAAGCCCAACACAAGCCTTGGATATTGTAGGGATCTGGGGTAGGGTTGAAAATGTGTATAAAATATAAAACAGTGAAATGATATCCAACTCAAGAACTTACTTATATTCTGTAATTTAAGCAATTACACTGAAACTACCCGAACGGTAGATGAATATGAGATTACAAGAATGGGAGATGTAAATCTATTGCTAAGCTCTGAGTATTAAGATCCTCACCCTTTACAATGATCTAAACATGGGTATTTATACTAAAATAGAGATGGGTGAGGTGGACACGTGGTCGAATCTGGTAGGCTATCACCTCTGCCATGTAAGCACCCATGCCCCCACCTGCTGCCGCCATGATCCAGCATTAAATGCGGCCTCCACTTGCTGATTGCCCATTCGGGCAAGGTGTTCGGTGTGTGGGACCCCGCCATAGGTGATGATTTTTACCTGAAGTATCCCGAACGCCGATCGATATTTAGGCCTTGATACCTTGGCATAATCGTTACCCAGAATGTTCCAAGTATAAGTTTTATCCCGAATGCCGTTCGGGGGTTCTTTGGGCTTGCTGCTTCTTCCCGGATTTGGGCCTAGGGATATTGGGCCTGGACCCAATATCCCAACAGTCATGTTTATAAACCTACCGCAAACCAATTTATTCGTAAAGCTGTTAATCCCGTCGGTGTTTTTAAAGAATTTGAGAATGCCGTTTACGTGAGTTATTTTTGTGATTTTATGAAGGAAAAGTTTTTAAAATATGATGCACATATTCCGCATATTTATGGTATTACATTTATTCTCGATCCTCGTTTTAGACTAGCTAATTTGGAAGATTGTTTCAACTTCTATTATCTTGCTTTTTTGGTGAATTTTCAATGTATGACGATAACCCCATAGATCCGAGAACGGAATACAACGAGGTTATCGCTTTATTTTATGCCTTATTTAATGAGTTTCATGCACAATATGACAACGCGCCTCCTTCCCCGACACGAACATCTTCATCTAAAGGAAGATCAATTTTTAAATCTGCATTTGGCAATCTTATGAAAAGAGCTAAAACAACTCACGCTGCTGAACAAAGCGCAATAAATGAGATTACTTTGTATTTAACATATGAAGTTGAATTTGAAGAAAATGATGACTTTGACGTTCTAAACTGGTGGAAGTCAAAAGACAGAACGTTCCCTATTTTAGCACAGATGGCTAAGCAAGTGCTATCAATGCCGGTTTCAACAGTTGCCGTGGAACAAGAATTTAGTTCGGCCGGCAACGTCCTAACGGCATGTAGAACGAGATTGAGCGCAAACTCTCTTGAGACGCTTATATGCTACCACAATTGGTTGAAGGCCGCACGTAGAACTCAAGAAATGAGCATCATCCCCTTCCAAGACTTTATGGATGACTCAACAACCGATGGTGGCTCTACCTATGCCGGAGATTCTGATTGATTAGTATTTTAGATTTTTTTATAAAATGTATTTCATGTTTTAATCTTTCCCTCAATTCTCAATTGTAATTTGTAAACTTGTACGTCATATTTCAAATAAATATGCGTTCAATTTTTCATATGTAGCACTTCTCAAATTAATTAATTGGTTACAAACTTACAACTTACAATTACTTTTCTAAAGGTTGTTTTTAAATTAAAAATGGCTTTACAATATGTAATTTGTTTAAATACACCTTATACACTTATACACCTATTTTGTAACATTTGTAAATTTTAAATCAAACCACTTTTCTAAGTAAAAATAGCTTTACTTAATTCATTAAATTAATTAACTTATTTTACAATATGTATAATTTTCAAATAAAAAATATTTAAAAAAATTTAAAAAGAAAAAGCTCCCAAATGGCTATATAGCCGTTGGGGCTTTGGGTGGGGGGCAGGGGGGTCCCGGGGGCGGTGGTGTGGCCTGCTCTTCTCCATCTTCAAAAAATCCTATAAATACATCTATTTTCTAACATTTTTCTACACTTCTTCCCCAACTCTTCTCCATCTTCATCTTCTCTTATTATCCTACATTCCTACTTATACATCTACCATTTTAAAGATGGAAAGTAAATCTTCCCTTATGCAAAACAATTTTGATATGTGGAAGGACCCGAAGATCGGGCCGTGGTGGGCAACTTGCAAGTGGTGCAAGAAAGAGTGTAGCTTGGGACGTTCACACGGATACGGGATGCCCATAAAACATATGAAGTCCTGTGACAAAGGCTAAACAACAGCCAACGATAGCGGAAATTCCGATTGATATTTATTAGAAAATGTATTTCATATTGTAATTTTTTTCTCAATTCTCAAATGTAGTTCCTATTTCAAATAAATGCACTTGAACTTTGTTTTTAATAAGAATTTGTACAAACTATAATTAAAAAAAATTAAACATGACCCGGCCCGACGGGTGACCCGATCCGTGACCCGGGCAGAACCGGCAACGGCCACAGCACGGACCGGTCCCGGGCCTCCCTAAAAAAACCTGAGGCCCAACCGGGCCTAGGCCCGGCCCGGGTCCATGACTAAATAGTAGTAGAGGCACGCAAAGCTTTTCATGTGTTAATGTGTTATTATTCGACCTCACCAAGTTCGAACATCATCTACAGCTCGAACTTAATCAACTTATTTTAAGTACTATTTCAATGTCATATGAGCATGCGATCCTAGTTCATTTTTTTTTGGAGTCTGTTTTTTTTTGCTTTTTATTCCACTTTCTCTTTCTGGAGGGTAAAAAAAACTAACGAGTACTACCACATTACTCACATACGATGTTGACCAATTGTTGGAAAAGAGGGTGAACCACCGACACAACGATAGTAGAGAATAGGAACAGAGAAGCAGATCCATAACCGATAGTTTGAGTACCACGACAAGATCACAACTTCACAAGTAACGATGACAATATTTGAACAAGACTAGATCCATAACTCATAAGGTATCAATTACAAAATTTCGCAAAATCAGAAGATAACTTTAGAAATTATGCACAAGAAAATACCCAAGTGTTGCTATAGAAGAAAAAATTAGACTACACTCCAATGCAAAAGAGCTCTTCTTTTTTAACCCCTTCTACCATCCCTCATGGCCTCATGTAGTATTTACATAATTAACAATTCACGCATCAACATTCCCCTCTTCTTTTGCCTGTTCGTCAACAATAATTATTAATTGGACAAGGAGTGCGTTGTTTAATTGAAAAACCATGCCACTTTTCTTTTTCATAGTATAAATTTGTGTAAAAGATGCATAAATAAAAAATAACATTAAAGAAGATGAATCCAATACGCTACAAAAAGATCATAATGGTTCAACTATAGATACTTCAAAAGTGTTACACTTTCTTTAACACTCGAAACAAAACCTCAATTTATGCACAACACGTTGTGACCCTCACCCATCTTGCGATAGCAAAGGCGAGTTCACTTTCAGGACGACCTCCGCTTCATTTGAACGTCAAAGTCTCACTCCTACTTATATCTCAGTTATTGCTCCATAGAGTGCAAATTATGGTGGCCATTAGCGATGATTGAAAACAGTGAGCCTTTGGCTCCTTTGAAAATGATGGAAAATAAGTCTTGCATAAACAATACTTCCTCTGTCCCATTTTATAAGATATCTTTACTATTCACTCGGTCAACACAAATCACTCTTAATCTCTTACTTTATATATCAAAATTTTATGAAATTTGAATTTTTGTTACAGGTTTTGTAGCGGTTTTAATGTAGTTTCTGAATATGTAATTGTTTTTTTCTAAAAATAATTTGAGTGCAGATAGGGATTCGTTTGCTTTATTGTCGGTCAAACATCGTAAACCGAAAAGTATCTTATAATTCGGGACGGAGGGAGTAATAGATAATATTAGAATTTGTTGAACACAAAAATAGTTACCAAGACATAAAATATCCAAGAGAAAATGAACCATACCATATTAAAAGAACAAACCTCATATATGTCACTCGTTTCGCGAAATGAAAACTAATGATATGCATGCAGAGGGTGAGTAAATGGTTTACAGAATTGTAAAATTACACACAGATTTATTTTAGTTTACATAAGAGACATACAACACTTAAATTGATCAGAAATTGACGAGAGTACCAACTTTGGTTCCACAGCATGTACGAGGAAGATCCACAAGCTAGAAGGAAATGAAAAAACAACAGACATAAAGACAAGCAAAGATGTAAAGTTTGAAGCAGATAGAGCGGAAAAAGAACAAGTAGAAATGAAGGGAGATCTGATGCCTTACACATTAACACTGAGAGCTCTTATGTACTCCGTTGTTATATAATCGATTAGATTGATATTACAAAGTATTTACATCTGAAAAGAACTCAGATTGTTGAGTGAAGATGTAAACCTCATCATAACCTCTCCTGTAGGAAAAAGAAAGATATAAATACCCAAAATTTTATTGCCACATTACGAAAGCAGTCTGAAAAGGTACTTACCCCGCCTTCCCACTGTAAGAGGGACTATAGTTGTATATAAGGTTGTCACGCACTCTTTGAGCATCTGGTCTGTTTAAAGACTTCCTTGCTTCACTGGAAAACATACAACAACAACATCATCATCCAAGTCTTAGTCCCAAAAGAGTTTGGGGCTTCACTGAAAAACATAATGAATAAAATTACAAAACAAGAAATACATTTATGAAAAATAATCTAGAATGATACTGAAAGGTAGTATAGTCTGTAACTCTGAATCCATCAAATCCTGGAGAGACCTGGAAAACACTTCATAGGAACTCCATCCTGTACTGAGCATAGGTTTTCTATAGTTTTCCCCTTTTTTAGGTAGATCTCTGTTTTATAATTACAAAAAAACTTTTCTAACTCTGCTGCTTCAGTGAATTATCTAATCCCTATCTGCCACGGATAACTGACTGAAATCTAAAAATGATCTTAGTTTTGGTCTTAGTCCAAGAAATATCCAAGAAGAGGGCAGTGTCTTGCTATGAAACACTCAACATCTTGTGTTAATTTGCAAAACCTTATATTTAGAGCCTAAGCTAATATATTCCCATTCCTTCAGTAAAAAATAATGACAAAACTTAAGCTAATATATTGCAATACCTACAGTGATAATGGATTGTAGGAAATAACCCTACCTAACAAAGTAGTTGGCAACATGTTGAGTCACTTGAATTGCATCTTCTGTGTGTGGAATTTGAGATAAGCCCCATTCAAAAGCATTTTTCTAGATCATAAAAGGCACAATTTTAACCTTTGTCACAGCAAGTTTATTATTTAAAAAAATGTAAAATATTTTACCGGATAGTTATGTATTTTCACTAAGACAAACCTCTGGGTGCCACTGCGCAGCAGTTACAGGGTAGCTCTTTGCTTGAACTGTAGAGACATAGACCTGACACAGTGTCACATTATTTTAACTCATAGATGTTAGAATCAACCCATTGAAGGGAATGCAGGAGTAGAAATTGTCATATCTGATGTAGTGTGGTATTTGCTTACCTTATTATCTTTATCAGCACATGTTGTCAACATCCTGAAAAAGCTACACAGGTCTGCATTTGCTCGAAATGTTTCTGGTGAAATGCCATACTGTTTCAAAAAGAGAGAATAAGAACAGCCTGCTTGCTAAGAATATAACAGAAAAGTCTGCTTTTGTGTAAATCCATAATTATAACTATTTATCATAGCAAAACAATGGGAAATACAATCTGCTTCTGGGGAACTCACGCGATGATGTTGCATGGCAAGGCGATCCTCACTCAACTTTTTTAGCAACTCAGAAGGGAACCTGTAAAAGGTATAACATATTTCAGACAGTCACTCCATCAAACAGCGAAATAGCTCCTCCATTACGAACATTAAGTACTCGTAACTTGTTGATCTGTCTTCTAAATAGTTCCTATAAACAAATACTAATTAGTTATAATAGACATATACCTCTGAAAGAGGGTTCCTTCAAAACTGGCACCCTCCACGAATTGTAGCTTAGATGCTTGGTTAGTTGCATTAAACAATTCAAGAATATTATTGTCCTGGAGCGAATTGTTAAGGAATGGGGCCTTAAATTTCACAAGTAATAAATAAAACGGATCTGATAAGGGTATAGGGCAATATCTGGTGTTCTACTTACATGCAACCTTTAAGTGTTCTATTAAAGGAAAAAATAAAACAGAAGAAATATACAAATAAACTTTCATCTAAACTCTGAAATCTTAAACATATCACCCAACCTCGAGTGCACCAATGCCCCTTCTGTATAAACGCACCCAATTCTTATGTTTCTCAACACTTACCCTCTCTCCTGACAACTACGTTAGGGGCAATCGTGCTCAGCAAGGAGTCCCTATAAGTATCAGGTGCAGATCCCACTCTCTATCAATCATATTGCGATTAGAGCTCCGCTAAAGCAAGCTGCCATGCCGGTTTTGGAGACCCTCGGGGAGGGGGTGAGTTTTTTTATATACTGCCCATGAAATTGGAGCATGAAGGTCAATAGCTCCAAGCTTGCCACACATCCACTCAATCTGAGGCTCAGTTGTTGACATGGTTAATATATCCACCACTCATCCTTCAGAACTAACAAATGAGGCAGTGATCTCTCCAAAACTAACTTTTTCTTGAATAAAGAAGTAATCGAGTTCAATGCGTTTGCTCTTTTGTGAAGTACTAGAAATTTAGAAAATATCAACTAAAGAGCCAATTAATCTAGCAGCTCTAGTTTGCAATCAAGCATACCTATGCATTCTAGAATGTCCTAGTTATACTTTCCTTGTGATAAGAGGTTTGCTTCTTTCTACAGTGCAACCTCTATGCTAGAAAAAAGATTAAAAAAACTTATTACAGTGAAGTGAGTGAACCATCAATAAACTTGCTTTAGGTATAAAACACGAATAGAGATACCTTTGTGATAATCATTGTTAAAAGTTCAAAACCCAAACAGATGGCAAGAAGAGGGAAATAATCTCCTGCATCGTTCTTCTCTACGACATTCTGCAAGAAAAAGAAAGGGGCTACAAATTCAGTATCTAACAATTTTTCAAGAAGAAGAAGATGATATTATGATTATAAATATAAGAGCAAAAACAACAATAATGATACTCCAGATGATGGATAACAATTATGCATATATGGTTATACCATGCTCGACAAAAACCACTTTTTGTTATGACCAATGGGAGGGACAATAAGAAACACACACACACATGTACATGTATAACCATAAACCATGAAACATATGGAGTAAATGGGAAGCAAGCATAGCTGCATTCTCTACTTTAAGTCAGTATCATCACATTCCATAATTTCATAATTTTTATTATGGCTTTTAATTCAAACCTAATGTTTACTCATTATGAATCTATGATAATTGAGAAGAATCTCATAGCCGTAGGATTTAATACAAAATTAATTTGATGTTGCTTAGAGTGGGTGTTGAAAATGAAAAGCTAGAAACCTCTCTCCCAGAACTTGTAGTTGCTAGCTAATTAAAATTGATATGGAGTACATGTTTAGCAATCACTTCATTTCTTAAAGACCAATTACCTGGAAAATTCCCTTGACAACCTCAAAGTACGGTCCCTTCTTGGAAGATCCTCCAGTGAACAGTACACCATTAACTAAATTGAGTTTCTGTAAATTAATCATTATTTAACAGATGAAAAGCCCCAAAATTTGCAGAGCCTGAAGCATTAAGAGCCTTACTTGGATGAGAATATCGGAAGGCTCGTTATAAATAAGAGGAATGACTCTAGCACCACCAGACTCAACGAACTTGACGTAAGAAGCGGCAATGTAGGAAACGTTGGTAGCATTACTGAGGCGGCCATTAGCTCCGTCTCCGGGATGACTGACGATTCCGATGACCGGCCGGTAATTCAGATTCCCGTCGGAGGCGGATTTCGTCGATGTCCTCAGTTCGGATTGGGTAGATAAAGCAATCATGGGATTACGGTTTGCTGCAGCCGCCCCCACAAAAACGGGGATCAAAAGTAGAAATATATGAAAAATATTTCCCATTTCAGCTTTTTCTCACCCTGTCCAATCTCCAGACTGTACGCAATGGAGCTAGCACGCAACTGTTGTGTACTTGGATTAGTTGGTAAATCGGATCAGAGGTTATACCCGCAGCGCTGAACTCAACAGCCCGCCGTTTCCACACTGTAAACTGTGGTGGGGCGACACGCAGAGAATTCGAACTCGGAGGTGTGTGCTATTCAAACTGCCGACTATTTTTTTGAGTTGAAAAAATGACCAGAAGAGTAATAATGGATCAATACCGAGAAATTACCGTTCGGTGAAAGGAAGATTCCGGTTTTTCGCTTTCGTGTATAAACCTCGGGAGGAGTGACCATAATCATTCACTCACAAATGGCTTCCTGTATAAATGAACAGAGAAAGAGCAAGCCATTCAGCAAAAAAAAATGTGTGAGCCATTCAGCATACGTTATAGGCGAAAGCAAAATGCAATCCCATGAAGATAATGTGTAAATGAACCGCCACAACTTTCCCTTTCGTCCCCGGCAACTCTCGTCGAAGGCAGCCCTCCTCCCCGCCGTCGATTCTGTCTCAGTCGAACCCCACTTTCTTCCATGACCGAAAGGCATGTATCCTCTATCCTTAGAGTTTTTACAGTTTTGATATAATTGATGATGTTTATTTGGAGGATGAAACAAGATATTTTTGTTTATAAAGTTTTTCAACCCATCCAGTGCTTGGATCTTGAATAATATATACTATCGTATTTGTTTGGGAAAATGTCAGGTGGGGATATGTATTGTCTGCGTAAGGTTGATTTTATGCCTATTGAAGGACATGTATTGTCACTGTGAAGATAGATTTCTCTAAATATTTGTCTGTGTGAACTCATGTGTAATTGATTGTGGTTCCATTTGTCTGTGAAAACTTATATGATTGTCTGTGTGACTCTACATATGTCTGTGTGACTAATATGATTGTCTGTGTGATTCTACATAACGCTATAAGATTAAAACAGGTCCAAAAGAAAAAATCTCTAGGACTTTCGAAAAAGTAATGATTTTTCCAATGTATTGTACAATTGTGGTGCACTTCTCCAACTGAGGATCAAGTTCATTAAAATACCTTGGTTGATTTGGACTTTGTGTGCCTTAAAATCATGCGGAATGTTGAAAGAAAGTTTTAAGAATAAAAAATAATCAACTTTTTTCATTACAATTAAATTTATATAGTTATTTGAGTGTATGTTACTTTGTAGTTTTATTAAAAATGAAATCTTTCTCAAAATAACACAACTACTCAAATAAGTCCATTACTTTTCTTCATAAAAATATGACTCTCACTCCCAAACAAGAAGATTAACTGATTTTACTGTTTTATGAAGATGAAATTGGTTCTATGTTAACGATAAACACAAATACTCTTGTTTTATGCAGTGTACTTAAGTTTTACCCATTTTGCATTATTTTTTTTATATATGTTTTCTACTTTTTTGGTTAACAACCTATTTGTGCCCAATTATGTTGTTCATGTTTGCAAAACTCACCCCATGTAGGCCTGTAATGACAAAAATAGAAATGATTGCCCCTGTAATTACAAAAGTTAAACATAAGTGACTATACTTATGTCTGTGTGACTGATTTTATGTTGGTATCTAACTGAATGGTTGTCTATGTGACTTAACATATGTCTGTGTGCTTATGGTTTATTTTCTTACAATTGTAGGGCACTTGAACTTCCAATTCCTTTGAGTAAGAATTTCCGTGCGCAGTATTCTGTGTTCAAACGTGAAATATGCTTCGAAGTACATTCATAACATGTTGTCTAAGAAACAAATGGAACTATTCCGGAATACAGCATGCGGTCACCTTGCAGATATACCTGAGATTCAAGTCTTTGCTGAAATTGTGCACATGTTATTGTTACGCCTTGTGAAGCAATAGCCTGAAGATGAGCACTGGTTCTGTGTAGTGGAGGGTAAAATTGTGGAATTCACGAATAATGATTTATGCCGCATTACTGGATTACCTCCGGCAGCCCTTAGGCCCGTCGTGGCTGAAGAGAGTGAAAATCTGATGAAGAGGCTAAAGAAATGGAAGAAGCTGGGGAGGTTGCTAATACATATTTTGGCGGATCACTGGATATCACTTTTCAGATGGTGAAGGACAAGGTTCAAAAAGTACGTCTTAGTAGAAAAGGTAATGGAGTGCTAGGTGTCAAGCTTGCATCCCTCTTCTTGGTTGAGAACGTATTGCTAGGAAGAGACAGGACAACCAAGATTAGCTGGAGGTCTATTAAGCTGGTTAATGACTTTGAGGAGTTCAAGGAGCTGTGGTCTTCTTGATGGCAGTCGACGAAGTTTATCGACAATAAGGCTAACATCCCTGGAAATAAAAAGCTAAGTTATCAGTGTACGGTATGCCATTGGTCCTAAAGGTATGACTTTTATTTTGTTTGATTTTGTACTGTATTCTACAAGTATTTTCTGCCACAGACAATACATGTCCTTTCGAGACATGTTTATAAATGCTCACAAACACTTCCTATCCTTCCCAGACATGTTTATAAATGCTCACAGACATTACACGTCCTTCCCAAACATGTTTTTAAATGCTCACATACACTGCCTGTCCTTCCCAGACATGTTTATAAAAGCTCACAGACAATACATTTCCTTCCCAAACATGTTTATGGTCTGTGTTACTGAATCTATTTTTCTTGACTTAACATATTTTTATTTAGGTGTGGGCGTATGAAAAAATTCCTAAATTTGGGGAACACTTTAAATGTTTGCAGCATAATTCCAACCTTCCAAGATACGGAAAATTGTGTTTGCTGATGTAAGTCTTCTTACTTTATCATTCCTAGTTTATCATTATCATTGTCTCCTTATATATAAATATTTATAATATTTGTAATACCAACTCATGTTCATGCTTTTGTAGGAGGTTCCTACACCTCTTACTTCCGATGATGAAGATGAAGACAATCCTGAAGTAGAAATTAGAGATAGAGTTGAAGAAATGTGTGCAAGTATTGACAAGATCAAAACAGGTGTTCATAGGCTAGAGAAAAGGGTGGAAAAGGATCTTGGTGCACTGAAAGACCTGCTGCTTCAGGTTATTGATAGAGTACACATTGTTTTAAAGGAAAAGGTATAAATATTATTTGTTTGTGTAGTGATTTGCTTTTTCTGTATTTAGTACATATTTGTTTGTATGTATCCTTACTATATACATTTCTTTTGGTTTGTAAGGGGGGCCCTTCTGTCCCAAGTAAGCGGGAAGAAGAAAAAGAAGTTTCTGCAAAACATGTTGAGTTTATTGGCCCTGAAAATTTGCAATCCTCAAACACTCCAGTTGAGGAAAAGGTATAAAATGTTGTTTGTGTGCTTATTTTAGTGTCTGTATTTAGCAATCTTTAAGTTCATTTTAGAAGTAGTTAAAGTTCTTGCATTTCCCATCATCATTCTAAAAGAAAAAGGAACATATTATATGTGGACAAAGTAGAAAATTGTACTGTATACATTGGAGTTGTAAAATATAAAGACTAGATAAAAAATAAGAATATTACCCGAAATAAGACTAAAAAGGTTTGAAAATTCTAAAATAGGACTGCCATGTTTTTATTCCCAAAATAGGACTAATTACTGTCATGTTTTGGCAGTACTAGACTTCAAACATGGCAGTATTTTCCAAACTTGACAGTAATTACTCCTATTTTGGGAATAAAAAACATGACAGCCCTATTTTGGAATTTTCAAATTGTTTTAGTCTTATTTTGGGAATTTTCCCTAAAAATATTGAAAAGGAGCAAATAATAAAAACTTTGTAAAAAGAATATGGAACAAATTACATTTAAGCACAAATGTTTGAATTATAGAGCACTAACTAATTACAAATTAGCCAATTGTGTGACTCGTATCATAATAGATTAGTGTCTGTATTTAGCATTGTCTTATGTGTATGTACATTTTGTCTTGTCTATGTGCAGGTAATATATGTCTGTGAAATACCAAATGGTTAGGTTGAAGGGGATACATGTTGTGATATTGTTGCTGAAGATAAAACCATGTCTACACATCCTGTTAAGAATGTAGCGACTGTGGTATGTTGTTTAACTTGTTACAGGTTTTGATCTTAATCTTTCGAAATTAAGTTCTCCTTCGAGGAAATTAAAAGGTATAAAATGTTATAGTTTGTGTGTGCTATTTTTAGTGTCTGTATGTAGCAATGTTTTATCTGTATATGCATTTTGTGTTGTCTGTGTATAAGTAATAAATATCTGTGAAATACCAAATGGTTAGGGTGAAGAGGATAAATCTTGTCTTGTTCTTGCTGAAGATCAAATTACGTCTGCAGATCATATTGTGAATGTCGCCGACTGAGATATGTTGCTTACCTTTTTTGTTTTGTTTTAATCATTGCAAATTAAGTTCTTCAAGAAATAGGCATAAAATGTTATTGTTAGTGTGGTGTTTCTAGTGCCCGTATATAGCAATGTTTTATATGTATGTATATTTCGTGTTGTCTGTGTATAAGTGATATATGTCTGTGATATATGTCTGTCAAATACTAAATGCTTCTGCTGAAGGGGAGAAATCTACTGCTGTTGTTGGTGAAGCACAAAATTTGGAAATAGATCCGGTAATGAATGTAGTGGTGGAGGTATGTTGAAGGATGTATTTATTTCGGTTGTGGTTTTTACATTTTTGTTGGTGAAGAACATTTTTGCATTAATCGTTCGAAATTATGTTCTCCTTCATTTCGAAGTTGAAGTGACAATCTGAACAAATTAAGGAAGAACACATGTATGAGGACTGTCTCACTCCCACAAATCTTTTGATGTGCCTAAATGAGGTGCACATTGTGATATGCAAACATTTTTTTATTTACACAGACAGTACACAGTTCACACAAACAATACTCATTAAGTGCACATGCTAATTAAACATGTGTTCACCGATATATATTTGTGTGTGCCTATATAACTCCCTTAACTTTGATCAATTTGTGTAGGTGGAAGATGACAAGTTCCTTGCTTTGACAGCCCCCGGTCCATTTGAAAACTTGGATTGAGATCTCGTTGGTGATGATGTTGGGACTGCTGGTGTAGACATGAAGGTCATTGAAGAAGTTAGTATGAAAGAAGTGATGAAGAGAAAGCGGTTCAGAGTGAAGTACATATGCAACCCATACATTGCTCCAATGACTAAGAGGCTTAAGGTTGGCATGCACATTTACATCAAACTAAGATTTAAATATCCGTTTAAACACTGCCATGCACATTTACATCAAACTAAGATTTAAATCTAAACCACTACAATTCATCATGTCATTAAGATCCCCCTGTCCATTGCCATGCTCAGAGGTCGGTTGTGGAGTACTTGCATTGTCATTCCTAGCCCTTGATTTTTTCATCCCCTTCTCCAATAGTCCTTTTTGGTGGTTTTCCTCGATGCACCCTTGCGCTTTGCACATTTAAGATCTCCAATGATTTTTGGAACCTCAGCTTGCACACCATTGTGATAGATGTTAAGTTGCCACATATGGAAGAACGATTAACTTGAGGAATAGTATATGTGGACAATTGAGTGTCCAAATAAAGAAGAACACTTTGGTACCTCTCATCATCATCATCCCCAATCATGTTTGTAAGTAATTCGTCAAACGTCTTGCACAACTTATGAAAGCTTTCATGTTCCACCGTTGCGATCCACCCATCGTAACTTATTTTCACCTTCGAGTAAGATCTTTTAACATCTTTCCTTCATCTTTTCAATAGGTAGACCTCAGGCAAGAGCTCTAATCCAAACCGAAGTAAGACCACAATCAAGTGTCTACATACCATACCCCTAAATTCAAACAAGTGACAACTACATATTCCAAAAGTAGTTAATGGGTCATATTCAACAACGAAGTTAACGGTCTTTCGAAACCCATTAATCTTTCGAACCTCCTTCACATTAAATTTTCTATCCCCTTTGCTTTGTAGGAGATCACAATACAATGTACTTACAAGTTCATCTTGAAACTCCTTGAACTTAGCTAGAGTGCAAATTTCTTGGACTTGTTCTTCTGTTTAAAATGTTGTAACACAAGGAATCGTTTATGCAAACGAACTTGTATCGTGAAATTATTTTTCTACTTTACTTCGCAATGCGCGTCCGTATTGCTCAACGAATGGTTTAAGACTAGTTTTGGAATTCACATAGTCATCGAAAAAAGAATTGATACTTTCACTTTGTTGAGTGGTAGACATATTCGCCCAGAAGGTTTCTTTTAAGAAACATGGTAACCACCGATGTTGTTCGTTGTACATCACTAGAAGCCATTCATGGCCTTCTAGGGAATACCTGAAACAACATTAAAAATATATATGAAGTACATACACGATGTCTGCCCGCATACACTATTGTGTCTATGGTGTACATTTTTCATGCCTGTGACAGACAAATGTCTTTCCTACACAGACAATGTCTTTCTTGTATGAGCACACAATCTTAGCACATATATAATGTTTTATCTGCCCGCAAATATAAAGGTGTCTGTGTTGTACATTACAAATGTCAGTGTAGTAAAAACAATTCGTCTGTGTCATGATCATACAAATTTGTCTCTGCCTTGAAAAAACAATATACTGTCTGTGTAATACACTTACTTTGTGTGTGAAATGAATATAAATTTATTTCACAGACAAAATACTTCTGTAATGGTCAAATTTTGAAGGAGATGAAGAGTACCTTTGTATTCCTTCCAACCTTGCTCAAATTCTGGAACATATTGTGAGTCATTAATGGATTAATGAATAACATCCAAAAACAATTTCCCCTGTAATTCCTCCCGTTTTTTCCGGTACCTTTTTCATAATATGTCATAGGCACCATCCGTGTCTTGTATTTGGGAAAACAATTTGGATGACATTTTGCATTGCACGGTCTTCATTCGTAATAATGCCCATCGGAGCAAGTCCTTCCATACACACAAGCCATGCTTTAAATAGCCACACAAATGTTTTCGTATGTCCATTATTAGAGATTTATCTGCACCCTAGCAAAATTGATTGATCATGATGATTAACTCCCACAAGTGGTGCAAAAGGCATATATGTCATAGCAATTCGTGAGGTAGGTCGTGTCAAAGGTAACATCTCCAAAATCTTTGTATGCATATCTACATCGATTGTCGGCCTAAAACACATTACGCAATCGGGAATCATCATCTAAATCAACGACAGAGAAAAATTCGGGACATTGAGCTTGCATTGTAACAAAAAAATCATGAATTGTCATGACATCACCACTCCCTAATCTAAGTTGTCTTATCTTTTCCATGTAGTTCCTACAATCTTTTTCAATAAAAGGAAGTTGATCATATCCACTGGCTTCATACAACGACTGCATTGAAGGTTTTATGAAGTCGTATTCCGGCCACATCGTTGATTGCAATTTGCCTCATTACTTGGCACCGGAATGGGCGAACCTTCATTGGATTCATGGGATGGGTATGCTCAAGACAATTTTTTTGAAATTTTCCAACGTCCCGCATAATTTGTGTGTGCTCGTGTTCTTGCTCTGTACCCCATTTGCATTGCAGGTTGCGGCTTCAATTGATTTGTTGACCTAGTAAATCTACTACCGGCACGAGAACACTCTAGCAACACTCCAACTATATCTACTCCATTCTTGTGTTTGGTAGTCCTCCTAGCTCTTATGGGAAATCCCAAACGCTTCCCACATGTCTTGTAAAAATCATACACCGCTTCTTTGCTATCAAATTCCATACAAACATTCGGAGCTTTTATAGAACCAACATCACTCTCATTTTGCTGAATTTCTCCATTGGACCAACATTCATGTATTTCAATGAATAAAAAATATGCGGATGTGAACATGCACAGACAGAAGTATATTTACGCACAGAGGCAGTGATATATTTACGCACAGAGGCAGTGATATATTTACGCACAGATAGAAGTATATATACACACAGGCAGAAGTATATTTACACACAAACATTTCAAACAAAAGTATATTTACACACAGACATAAGTAAATTTAAAACTTTTTTGAACACAAACATGATTATATACACTTCACAAACACACAGACGATATTATACACTTCACACAAACACTACACAAATACAGACAATTGTCTGTGAAGAACATATATTTATGTTCAAAGCAAATGTATTTGTTCTTCACAGACAATTATCTGTATTTGTGTAGTGTTTGTGTGAAGTGTATAATATCGTCTGTGGGTTTGTGAAGTGTATATAATTGTGTCTGTGTTCAAAAAAGTTTTAAATTTACTTATGGTGGGTCTGTGTGTAAATATACTTTTGTTTGAAATGTTTGTATGTAAATATACTTCTGCCTGTGTGTATATATACTTTTGTCTGTGCGTAAATATACCATTGCCTCTGTGTGTAAATATACTTCTATCTATGAATGTTCACATCCGCACATTCTTTATTCGTTGAAATACATGAATGTTGGTCGGATGGAGAAATTCAGCAAAATGAGAGTGACGTTGGTTCTATAAAAGCTCCGAATGTTGGTATGTAATATGATAGCAAAGAAGCGGTATATAATTTTTGCAAGACATATGGAAAGATTTTAGGATTTCCCATAAGAACTAGGAGTACCACCAAACATGAAAATGGAGTAGATATAGTTGGAGTGTTACTAGAGTGTTCTCGTGCTGGTAGTAGATCTACTAGGTCAAAAAATCAATTGAAGTGTCAACCTTCAATGCAAATGGGGTGCGGAGCAAGAATGTGAGGATACACAAATTATGATAAGACATTGAGAAATTTCAAAAATTTGTCTTGAGCACACCCATTCCATTAGTCCAACGAAGGCTCGCATATTCCGGTGCCATAGGACTTTGAGGCAAATTGCAATCAATGATGTGGCTGAAATATGACTCCATAAAACCTTCAATGCAGCCGTTGTTGAAGCCAGTGGATATGATCAACTTCCTTTTATTGAAAAAGATTGTAGGAACTACATGGAAAAGGTAAGACAACTTAGATTAGGGAGTGATGATGTCATGACAATTCATGATTTTTTTGTTACAATGCAAGCTCAATGTCCCGAATTTTTCTTTGTCGTTGATTTAGATGATGATTCCCGATTGCGTAATGTGTTTTGGGTCGACAATCGATGTAGATATGCATACAAAGATTTTGGAGATGTCGTTACCTTTAACACGACCTACCTCACGAATTGCTATGACATATATGCCTTTGCACCACTTGTGGGAGTTAATCATCATGGTCAATAAATTTTGCTAGGGTGCAGATTAATCTCTAATAATGGAGATACGCAAACATTCGTGTGGCTATTTAAATCAGGGCTTGTGTGTATAGAAGGACTTGCTCCGATGGGCATTATTACGGATGAAGACTGTGTGCAATGCAAAATGTCATCCAAATTATTTTCCCAAATACAAGACACGGATGGTGCCTATGACATATTATGAAAAAGGTACCGGAAAAAATGGGAGGAATTACAGGGGAAATTGTTTTTGGATGCTATTCATTAATCCATTAATGACTCACAATATGTTCCAGAATTTGAGCAAGGTTGGAAGGAATACAAAGGTACTCTTTATCTCCTTCAAAATTTGACCATTACAGAAGTATTTTGTCTGTGAATTAAATTTGTATTCACTTCACAGACAAAGTAAGTGTATTACACAAATAGTATATTGTTTGTGGGCAGAGACGAATTTGTATGATCATGACACATACAATTATTTTTACTACACTGACATTTGTAATGTACAACACAGACACCTTAATGTTTGCAAGCAGATAAAATATTGTATATGTGCTAAGATTGTGTGCCCATACTAGAAAGATATTTTTTGTGTAGGAAATAATTTGTCTGGCACAGACATAAAAAATGTACACCACAGACACAATAGTGTCTGTGGGCTGTGGGCAGACATCGTGTATGTACTTCATATATATTTTTAATGTTGTTTCAGTTATTCCCTAGAAGGCCATGAATGGCTTCCGGTGATGTACAACGAACGACACCGGTGGGTACCATGTTTCTTAAAGCCAACCTTTTGGGCGGGTATGTCTAAAACTCAACGAAGTAAAAGTATTAATGCTTTTTTCGATGACTATGTGAATTTGAAAACCAGTCTTAAACAATTTGTTGAGCAATACGAATGCGCATTGCAAAGTAAGGTAGAAGGAATTTCACGTTGATACAAGTTCGTTTGCAAAAACGATTCATTGTGTTACAACATTTGAAATGGAAGAACCAGTCCAAGAAATTTACACCCTAGCTAAGTTCATGGAGTTTCAAGATGGAGTTGGAAGTACATTGTATTGTGATCTCTTACAAAGCGAAGGTGATAGAAAATGTAATGTGAAGGAGGTTCGAAAGATTAATGGGTTTTGAAAGACCTTTAACTTTGTTGTTGAATATGACTCATTAACTACTTTTGGAACATGTAGTATCACTTGTTTAAATTTAGGGGTATGGTATTAAGACATTTGAGTGTGGTCTTACTTCCGCTTGAATTGGAGCTTGATAAGTCCGTATTTAGACACGCATTTGATGCGTGTTCGGATCGACTTTTGATGGTTTTCCTAGCTTTAAGGTGTTACAAGTCTCAATTTTAGCTCAAGTTATGTTTAACAGGCGTTGGTTCGAGTTTTGTGTCATTTGGAGTCAAAATCAGGATTTTAGAGTTCAACATCGGCACTTGAGGAGCAATCGGGATGATTCGAGATGCATTTGAGTGTTGATTTGAGAGCTATGGAGGTCACCGGTAGGTTTACGATGAAGATTTAATGACAAAAGAGCTCTAGGATTGGCTATGGGATCAAAAAGAAGATGAACGAAGCTTGAAAACGACGATCAGGATGACCTTCTGTCAATCGGGCAAGCATATCTCTTTGTAGAAGCATCCAATGAACACGATTCAAAGTCCACATGAAAGCCAACTTCAAGATCTACAAATCATATGAAGACATCATTCCTAGAATCTGAGAGGAAGAAGATGAAAACAGACGATGAAGTCAGATGATCTCTGCTGCGATCTCAGAATGACACCTTCCACCGTTTTGATCATATCTCTTGATTGGATGATTCAAATCACATTCGGCAAATTGGGTTGGATAGAAGACTTCATCATCTACAACTTTCATGAAGAAAGTTTTGTCAAATTCGGAAGTTTTACGCACGCCGTGCGTCCGGGTACGCCCGCCGTGCGTCCAAGGCGTTAAATTGAAGGGAGCTACTGGCAGCAACGCACGGCCGTGCGTCCGGGTACGCACTCCGTGCGTTCAAGGCATTAAAATGGCGAAAGGCTACTGGCAGAAACGCACGGACGTGCGTAGGGGAACGCACTCCGTGCGTTGCCTATTTTCACGCGCAGGTCCGTCGGACGCACGGCAGCAACGCACGCCGTGCGTAGGCTCCGTGCGTACCGCGGATCTGTCCTTTTTCGACCCAAACTCATTGTTTTCTATAAATTAAGCCTCCCTAACCCCGTTTTGAGGGGGGGGGGGGAAACCTAGAGAGAAGCTTAGGGACGTGTTTTACAGTGTTTTTCCGCTATTTTGTTCAAGACCCTGAGATTCTTTGTAAGTTTCATCTTTTTAATTAATGACAATTATTTTTATTCATCCCAATTCTATTGATTCTTCAATTATGAATTGTGAGTAGTTTAATTAGGGATTTGGGGTTGATGAAGGGGTTAATCATGATGTATGGCTAGATTCTTGTCGGTCTAATTGCATGAATGCCGTTTAATTTGTGTTTGAATAATTTAACTGATATCTCTTGTAACCTAGATGGCCACTAGAATTACAATTGCATGTAGAATAAATTAAGAGAGATCTAATTTGTTCTAGGACACATTCACACACACTTAATCGTTCGCTAAGAGATTAGTAGCGATTAAGGGGCCGTAAGCTCGCTCGTCTTGGCAATAATTTAGGATCCTGTCGCATGAGAGATCAGCCTGGTCCCCTAAATTATTGTACTCTACGCCGCGAGAGCGGTAAGAACTTAGTAATGATTAGCTAGGCTCAATTTAATTAACTTCATGTAATTAGGCCTGATCTGCCAGAAATCTGGTTACCCCGGAATCGATCCCTGTTCCCTTCGTCATTAATTAGAAAGAACCCCCTAGGTTAATTATTCACATTAGTTTAATTTAATTTTTATTCAATCAATCAATCTCGCACACTTGCATTTTATTTTATTTTATTTTATTTTTATTCGCTGAATTTAGTTAATCTTTAATTCCCTTTTGTCCGTCCCTGTGGAGACGATACTCGTACTTTCAACCACTTTACTACATCAATTTTTAAGTGCGAGAAAACACACATCAGTTTTTGGCGCCGTTGCCGGGGACGGTGTCGGTTTTAAGGGTTAATTAATTTCAGTGAGATTTTTTTTTTAGTTAGTTTTCTTTTAGTTTTTCCGTAGGATTTTTCTGTGCTAACCTTTCAGGTATTTTTTCTAAGAGGCATGAGATGAACCTATTCAGCCAAATTCCTGGAGGAATTCCTTACCCTCAAACCTCCATGGAATATTCAACATATACACCATACCCTCCTTACACTCCTCCTCCTCCTCCTCCTCCTCAATATTACACATCTCATCAAAATTCTTCTCCTACACCACAAAATTTCCCATCTTCCTATTCTTACCCTCTTCCAAATACGCAATACTCTCAATCTCATTCTCCGAATCAATATCCTTATCCACAATATCATCGGACAAAACCAGGCTCCATTATGGAATTTCTCATTCAAACTAAAAGTCCCGAGGAATTGGTTGATTACTTTCCTAAGAATAGCATTTGTAACTTTTGTGGAGGTGGTCACCATTCATGTCTTTGCCCCATTCCTCCATACGACCATCCTTACTGGGCAACTGCATACCCCACTTCGTCCTCCCCACAACTCACAAAGACAAATGTTTCAATCACTCCTACGTCTTTGCCGAGCTATGCGCCACAGGAATCAGACGACGAATGGGAAGAGATAATTTCAGAGAAGCTGTCTGACCTGGAAGAAACACTCAAGAAATTATTACAGCAACAAATGCAAATTCAACAGCAACAAATCCAAATTCAACAGCAAGCAGACTCAAGGATGCAAAACATGGAGAATCAATTGGGGCAGATTGCAAAGGCTTTATCTGAGGAGTCCGATAGATCCCATCCTAGCGACACAGAAGCCCAACCCGAGGAGACCAATATGGATGATCACGTGAGCGAGTCAGACTATGATGGTGTGAATATGATGGATGATACACTTCCTGATGTTTTTGAAGACCCTGATGAGAACGGTGTTAACGAGAGTTGGGATGCCTTCATGGGGAGTGATACAGAGTCTGGAGGAGAGGTTGTGAATGTTCATGATATTTGTGAGGAAGAAGAAGACTTTTGTATGGTGCAATTTGATTACGGTGTTGCTCCTACTCCTTGCTTTGAGACATCTTTTGAGCTTCCGGTGATACCTAGAGTAATCAAAGTGTTCACTCATGTTTTCTGTCCAACTGAAGAGGATGAGAGTTTCATACTTCACTTCTGTGCTGATGAGGGTTATGAAGACCATGTGCTGCCTTCGTGGGCTGACGAATTTAAAGATCTGCGCCACTTAATGACATTTGTTGAGAGGAAGCTGGAGACGTTGACTATAAGTGCACCACTACAGTCTTTGCTATTGGAGAGTCTATGGGGTAGTTGTGTCGGGCAAACGACGTTAAAAATAGCGCTTCTCGGGAGGCAACCCGAGCTTTTTTTCTGCTTTTGTTTTTGCTTTTGCTTTGTTTGTTGTTTGGTTGTTTTGCTTTGTGTTTTTTTTGCAGCTCAGGGTCTTGTTGTATGGATGATGTGCCGAGGATTACATTGACTCAGTTTAGTTCTGCATCGACCAATGCCTTAGGGAAGTTTCTTTGAACTCTTTTACTCGCTTGTTGAAATATTGACTTGAGTTAAGTTGAGCATGCGTGACCCTATCCTCTTTACCCCCTTGTGCATAGTGCATTTTTGGTCATCGAGGACGATGCCAAAGTTTAAGTGTGGGGGAGTGAATTGGGCATTCGGGCAGTAGTTGTTACATGTGATTAATTAGAGTTAGCATGCGCAGGTGTTAGTTGTATATTCATAGGAAATTCGTGTAAAAAAATTTTTGAAAATTTTTCTTTAAAACTGTGTCTTTGTGAAGTGGCTAGCATTTGACTATGCTTTTATAACATCTTTGAAGTGTTTAGACTTAATTTGCTTGCACTATAATCTGGTTGTTGAAAGGATGAAGGCATTAGTCACCCATTGAATTTTCCAATAATCATCCACCCCACCTGAAAGAACCCTTTAGGAGAAGCCATTTTGAGCTTGGCTGTTCTTTGTTACCCAATTAATTGAGCTCCATAGCCAAATGGCCTATGTTCCTTACCCGTGAATATTTCTGACTTAGTCTTGATGTTTAGGGAATTAGGGGATTAATTTGTTAAGTTTAGGGAATTTGTGTAGGAGCCATTTTTGGCATTGTTCCTATGCCCCAAATGGGGTAAGAGCAGTCACTTTTTAGGAATTTGATACTTTCGAGGATTGCATTGTAGGCATGGATTCACTTTTAAATAAATGAACCTTAATTGCTATTTTTCCTTGGTGAGGCCGAGATTAGAATGGGGTAATGTCTAGTGAGAATCCGAAAGGTGAAAAATTAATATAGCTAGACCTCTTACTTTGCGAAAAAGAGAATGAGAGCCCCAGTCAAAAAGCGTAAGATGAGACTTGGGTATCTTTCGAAAGAAACAGCGTTCTCGTGCCAACATGACAAGGAAAACTAAACATAATTAATGAATTTGGAGGCTATCTCAAAATTTAGCTTTAGTCCTCCGCGTACTTCAAGTATACGGCAAAGCGCAAATGTGCCGAGACGGTTTAGCTTAGTTGTACACCATGTCTACTCTTTGCATAGGTTTAAATGATTGTTCCTAAATTGTGGCCTACTGAGTTCCTTGATCCTAAGAATAGCCCTGAAGTTCCTGAATGCATTGAGTCTTTGTTAGAATATTCCAATCTCTCAAAAGAAAGGGACTGTTTATTACCATTCATCATTCACCATCACCTTCACAAGTCCTTCTGATCAATAGCTAGTTTATTTGTGTATGCTATCATTACTCTAAGGATGTTGTGAATACTTTGTCAAATAGTTTAGCTTGAGTACAAAGATGTAGTTTAGGGAAGAATTTTCTTGGTTTAGTCTGCCTGTTCTGTGAATATTCCTCTAACTACGTGTGCATGCTAATTATTTTGATTCCGTGTGGTGATTATTGTAAGTCCCGTTGTTTAGTTTGCTTGAGGACAAGCAAAGGCTTAAGTGTGGGGGAATCTGATAAGTCCGTATTTAGACACGCATTTGATGCGTGTTCGGATCGACTTTTGATGGTTTTCCTAGCTTTAAGGTGTTACAAGTCTCAATTTTAGCTCAAGTTATGTTTAACAGGCGTTGGTTCGAGTTTTGTGTCATTTGGAGTCAAAATCAGGATTTTAGAGTTCAACATCGGCACTTGAGGAGCAATCGGGATGATTCGAGATGCATTTGAGTGTTGATTTGAGAGCTATGGAGGTCACCGGTAGGTTTACGATGAAGATTTAATGACAAAAGAGCTCTAGGATTGGCTATGGGATCAAAAAGAAGATGAACGAAGCTTGAAAACGACGATCAGGATGACCTTCTGTCAATCGGGCAAGCATATCTCTTTGTAGAAGCATCCAATGAACACGATTCAAAGTCCACATGAAAGCCAACTTCAAGATCTACAAATCATATGAAGACATCATTCCTAGAATCTGAGAGGAAGAAGATGAAAACAGACGATGAAGTCAGATGATCTCTGCTGCGATCTCAGAATGACACCTTCCACCGTTTTGATCATATCTCTTGATTGGATGATTCAAATCACATTCGGCAAATTGGGTTGGATAGAAGACTTCATCATCTACAACTTTCATGAAGAAAGTTTTGTCAAATTCGGAAGTTTTACGCACGCCGTGCGTCCGGGTACGCCCGCCGTGCGTCCAAGGCGTTAAATTGAAGGGAGCTACTGGCAGCAACGCACGGCCGTGCGTCCGGGTACGCACTCCGTGCGTTCAAGGCATTAAAATGGCGAAAGGCTACTGGCAGAAACGCACGGACGTGCGTAGGGGAACGCACTCCGTGCGTTGCCTATTTTCACGCGCAGGTCCGTCGGACGCACGGCAGCAACGCACGCCGTGCGTAGGCTCCGTGCGTACCGCGGATCTGTCCTTTTTCGACCCAAACTCATTGTTTTCTATAAATTAAGCCTCCCTAACCCCGTTTTGAGGGGGGGGAAACCTAGAGAGAAGCTTAGGGACGTGTTTTACAGTGTTTTTCCGCTATTTTGTTCAAGACCCTGAGATTCTTTGTAAGTTTCATCTTTTTAATTAATGACAATTATTTTTATTCATCCCAATTCTATTGATTCTTCAATTATGAATTGTGAGTAGTTTAATTAGGGATTTGGGGTTGATGAAGGGGTTAATCATGATGTATGGCTAGATTCTTGTCGGTCTAATTGCATGAATGCCGTTTAATTTGTGTTTGAATAATTTAACTGATATCTCTTGTAACCTAGATGGCCACTAGAATTACAATTGCATGTAGAATAAATTAAGAGAGATCTAATTTGTTCTAGGACACATTCACACACACTTAATCGTTCGCTAAGAGATTAGTAGCGATTAAGGGGCCGTAAGCTCGCTCGTCTTGGCAATAATTTAGGATCCTGTCGCATGAGAGATCAGCCTGGTCCCCTAAATTATTGTACTCTACGCCGCGAGAGCGGTAAGAACTTAGTAATGATTAGCTAGGCTCAATTTAATTAACTTCATGTAATTAGGCCTGATCTGCCAGAAATCTGGTTACCCCGGAATCGATCCCTGTTCCCTTCGTCATTAATTAGAAAGAACCCCCTAGGTTAATTATTCACATTAGTTTAATTTAATTTTTATTCAATCAATCAATCTCGCACACTTGCATTTTATTTTATTTTATTTTATTTTTATTCGCTGAATTTAGTTAATCTTTAATTCCCTTTTGTCCGTCCCTGTGGAGACGATACTCGTACTTTCAACCACTTTACTACATCAATTTTTAAGTGCGAGAAAACACACATCAGAGCTCTTGCCCGCGGTCTACTTATTGAAAAGATGGAGGAAATATGTTAAATTAGTTTACACGAAGTGAAAATCAATTACAATGGGTGGATCACAACGGTGAAACAAGAACACTTTCATAAGTTGTGCAATACGTTTGAATCACTTGCAAATATGATTGCAGATGGTGATGAGAAGTACCAAAGTGTTCTTCTTTGGTTGGACACTCAAATGTCCACATATATTCCTCCCCATGTTAATCGTTTTTTCATGTGTTGCAACCTAACATCTATCCCAAAATCGAATAGTGGTGTGCAAGGTGAGGTTCCAAAAATCATTGGAGATCCTAAGTGTGCAAGGCGCAAGGGTGCACAGAGTCAAAACCGCCAAAAAGGACCATGGAAGAAGGGGAAGAAGAAATCAAGGGCTAGGAATGACAATGCAAGTACTCCACAACCGACCTCTGAGCATGGCAATGGACAGGGGAATTCTAATGACATGATGAATTGTAGTGGTTTAGATTTAAATCTTCGTTTGATGTTAATGTGCATGGCAGTGTTTAAACGGATATTTAAATCTTAGTTTGATGTAAATGTGCATGCCAACCTTAAGCCTCTTAGCCATTGTAGCAATGTATGGGCTGCATATGTACTTCACTCTGAATTGCTTTCTCTTCCTCACTTCTTTCATACTAACTTCTTCAATGGCCTTCAAATGGACCGAGGGCTATCAAAGCAGGGAACTTGTCATCTTCCACCTACACAAATTGATCAAAGTTAGGGGAGTTATATACGCACACAAATATATATATCGGTGAACACATGTTTAATTTGCCTGTGCACTTAATGTGTACTGTTTGTGTGAACTGTGTACTGTTTGTGTAAATAAAAAATTGTTTACATATCACAATGTGCACCTCATTTAGGCACGTCAAAAGATATGTGGGAGTGAGACAGTCCTCATACATGCGTTCTTCCTTTGTTAGGATTCCCACTTCAATTTCGAAATGAAGGAGAACTTAATTTCGAATGATTAATGTAAAAATGTTCTTCACCAACAAAAATGTAAAAACCACAACCGGTATGAATGCATCCTTCAACATACCTCGGCCACTACGTTCATTACATGATTTATTTCCAAATTTTGTGCTTCACTAACAACATAAGTAGATTTCTCCCCTTCACTAGAAGCATTTGGTATTTGACAAACGTATATCACTTATACACAGATAACACGAAATCTACATACAGATAAAATATTGCCATATACAGACACTGAGACACCGTACCACACTAACAATAACCTTTTATACCTATTTCTTAAAGAACTTAATTTGCAATGATTAAAACCAAAAACGAAAAAGGTAAACAACATACCCCAGTCGAGACATTCAAAATAGGATCTGCAGACATATTTTGATCTTCAGCAAGAACATGCCAAGATTTATCCCCTCCACCCTAACCATTTGGTATTTTACATACATTTATTAATTATACACAGACAACACGAAATTTACATACAGATAAAACATTGCTACATACAGACACTAAAAATAGCACACACAAACAATATTTTTTTTTATATCTTTTCCTTGAAGGGAAACTTAATTTTGAAAGAACATACCGCGGTCGCTACATTCTTAACAGGATGTGTAGAGATATATTTCACAGACATATATTTCTTACACACAAACAAGACAAAATGTACATCTACACATAAGACAGTGTTAAATACACACTAATCTAATACTCCCTCCGTCCCCCTATGTTTGGGACGGAAGGGATGGCACGCATATTAAGACAATTCATAAAGCTAGACAATAGGTCTGCAGCAATTACTGTTCAGTTACTTTTTGAACAATTACAAAGGTCCTCTTTAAAACAATTCATAAAGCAATTGAATAAGTCTGCAACATTTACGAAGCTCATGTCCCACTAAAACAATTCATAAAGCTACAGAGTATAAAACTATTCATAAAGCTATTCCAGATGGGAGTAGTGATGGACCCGGACCGGGTCGGGCCCGGTCGGGCCTCGGGTCTGATAGAGGTTGGCCCGGGACCGGCCCGGGCTATGGCCGGTTCCGGTTCGGGCCGGGCCACCCGGCCGGGTCACCGGTCGAGCCACCCGCCGGGCCGGTCCGGTTCAATTTTTTTTAAATAATTATAGATTATACAAATTCCTATTAAAAACAAAGTTCAAGTGCATTTATTTGAAATAGGAACTACATTTGAGAATTGAGAAAAAAATAACAATACGAAATACATTTTTTAATAAATATCAATTGGGATTTCCGCCACCGTTGGTTGTTGTTTTTCCTTTGTCACAGGACTTCATATGTTTTATTGGCATCCCGTATCCGTGTGAACGCCCCAAGCTACACTCTTTCTTGCACCACTTGCAAGTTGCCCACCACAGTCCGGTCTTCGGGTCCTTCCACTTATCAAAATTGTTTTGCATAAGGGAAGATGTACTTTCCATCTTTAAAATGGTATATTTATAAGTAGGAATGTAGGATAATAAGAGAAGATGAAGATGGAGAAGAGTTGAAGATAAATGTTAGAAAATAGATGTATTTATAGATGTTTTTGAACCCCACTCCCCACACCACCATCCCCGGGACCCCCTGCCCCCCACCCAAAGCCCCAACGGCTATATAGCCGTTTGGGAGGTTTTTTTTTAAAAAAAAAATTAAATCTTTGTTTTTTTAAGTTATACATATTGTAAAATAAGTTACTTAATTTAATGAATTAAGTAAAGCTATTTGTACTTAGAAAAGTGGTTTGATTTATAATTTACAAAGAGAATTGGAGATTGGAGATTAAGAAAATAAGTATATATGAAATATAAGTAGAGAAGTAGATATTATTATGTATTAAGTATATAGTAATAGTTTATAAAGTATATTTAATACTTTCATATATAAAGTACATATTAAGTAGATGTAGTATGTATGTATGTATTAAGAGATATAAGTAGAGATTAAGTAGATAAGAAATATAAGTAATATAGTATATGTATTTATAAGTAGATAATTAATATATAAGTAGATATAATAATTGTATAAGTATTAAATAGTAAAATAAAAAATAATGGAGAATAAGAGAATTTGAGAAGATGAATATGAAGATGAGTAGAGAGTAGGATTTAGGAAGAGTTGGAGAAGAGGTGTGAAAAAATGTTTAAAATTAGGAGTATTTATAGGTTTTTTTAACCCCCACCCCCACCCCCACCCCCAAAGACCCCTGGTACCCACCCAACGGCTATATAGCCGTTTGGGAAGTGGGTCAAGAGCCCAAAAGGAGTTTTTAAATTAAAAGGATTTTTTTTAATTAGACCGTTAGGCCCGGGCCTGACGCGGCCGGGCCGGGCCGGGCCGCCAAAAACAACACCCGGACCCGCCACCCCCACCGGTTCGGTGCCCGAACCAGACCCGGACCCGAGAACCGGGCTGGGCCGGTCCCGGGCCGGGCGGCCCGAACCGGGTCCACCACTAGATGGGAGGAACGAAATTAGGCTCTGCCGCTGGAGCTTCAACACATGAAGGAACAACTAATGAAGAATCATCGTATTATTTCACTTCCGATTCTTCCGTCTCAGCCATGAAATCAAATCGATCTTCACTATCTTCAACAACCTAATCTTCTTTATCTTCAACGACTAGACCTTCCAAGTTACGAAAGGGGTTGGAGGAATCGAAACTCATTTTCTGTGAAGGCTGTGCAGAGGGAAGGGGCCGGGAGTATATTATTTCCCGGAAGCAATGTTTTATAATTTCTTATTGTTTCATATTTGTTGATAATTTATCCATAAGTCATCATGTTTGAGTTGCATGTGTTATACTCCCTCCGTATTTTAAAGTTTGCTACACTTTCCCTTTTGGGATGTAATTAAAAGTTTGCTACACTTTCCCTTTTTGGTAAGTTTTTTTCTTTAAAAAAATACTCAACTACCCTTACTTTTTCTACTTTTTATCTTCTCTTTCCTACTTTTTCACATTGTCTCATACTTTTTCTACACTATTCATTACTCCTACTATTTCCTCCTTAAATATTGTGCCAAAGCCTAATGTAGTGATCTTTACAATACGGAGGGAGTATATGATATGCAATTCCATTTTTACATTAGTTTGATCATTTTTATCTATAGTTTGTATGTTGCAAGATTACACATGCTTCTCTAGATTACATAATTTGAATTTACTATTGTCTTTCAGGCACGAGCTCAAGTGAATCACGCGAAACTGTGATTATGCAATTGGAACTTAGAGCAATAATACCGGTTGCTAAAGTTGATATGGGTGTTGAAACTATTTCCAATGACCAAAAATTGCCCAAAGAGAGTTCATATTTATTTAGTAAGTTGAAGAGAAAGAATTGTTTGTAAGGGCATAATGATGACAGAGATAGCTCGAATTTGTAATTGGTTCCTTTCAATCGGGAAGTTAGTTAAATAAATTTTAGAAAATTGCACAATCTTTTAGGCCTAAAAATGAAGGTTTTTTCAATAAATAATTTAACTAACTTCTTGATTTAATTTTAATCTGAAATTCGGTGAACATAACCTACACTTTAGGAAGAACATGACCACCAAATATCATCAAAAAATTCAACTCGGAAGCACCTCAAATTTCATAAAAATTTCATATTCCTGTCACGACGTCTTGACCGGAACCCCCGTGCGGACAACACGATCACAGGGTCTTCTCGGTGATTTTTTTTGATGATTTTTTTTGAACATGTTCCTCATCAAGTCTAGTTTATTCATACCAAATTTCAGCTCAAAATTCAATCGGGAAGATAGTTAAAAAAATTATCGAAACATACTGCATTTTATATATGTACAAAATGTGCTGTAGGGTAAGAGATGAGCCGCCACTTGGAGTGCCGGCTTTTGTACTGTAAGAGAAGAGCCGCCACTTCAAGTAGCGGCTTTCCTTAACCACGGTTAACCCGGCAGTATTTTGGGAATTATTTTTAACCCAGTAGTATTTTGGGAAAAAACTCAACCAATTTAACAATACATCTAATAAGGCTCATTCTGTAGAAAACTTTTCTGCCTCAACAACTTTTAATTATGTTGTGTTTATAATAAATTAACAATGTACGTGTGAAATGGGAAGATTGGAAGAATATTTGACAGATAGTGGAAGGCATAGAATTGGAATAATCATGGGCAGATCAATCAACATTATTGTGATAACAAATTTAATTAATCATCCATTCAGTACTCCTCTCTTTATGTGTTTTGTAATTTTCATCATAAGATGAACCTAAAATGGTGCAAAACTACAAGAATCACGAACACCCGTTAGAGGGTGAGCAACAATCTACTCCTCATACAACCCTTTTATTTTATTCGAAACTCCAGAAACCTATCAGTCTTTGGCAATAAAATAGCTAATGGAAAATACAAATTACAAACAAAGTGAAAAATAGCCTATATATACTTTTTATTTTGGCAAAAAAATAGCCTATACTTTAGAACTAACTATTCAAAAAACAGAAATATGCGTGAATGTGGCTGAGAACTAACGATGGAAAACTAGAAAAATGAGTAAAGACCTTTTAGGATGGAACCCCAAATTATAACTTTATATTTGTGTACTACGAGATGACTTAACATACTCGATCCACTTAGAAGAAGCGGTGTATTCTCTATCTGCCGTTGGCCATAATTTTAACGATGGCCACTGTTCGATATCGCCACCGCGTCCCTCATCACGATGCTGCAAATTGTCAAAGCTGGGTTGCAACTCTGCCGCCATGTGCTCCAACTCTGGGACTATGGGTTGCGGTGACTTGTAGATTATATCTCTGATGTCTCCCGCCTCACGGCGTTGGTTTTCGAAAACCGAAACCTCATTTTCTTGTTTATGTTTGATCCGACACAAGACATAGTCTTTCAATGGTGCCTGAATTCAGATAGACGCAAATATGTTACATAGTTCATCATCATCATCTTTACCTCAGTGCCGCAAAGGCTCCCACCTACGGTAGGGAAATATGGTACATAGTTAATATAGGAAAAAGAAATTGTCCAAAATAAGAATACTATGATTTTATTCCGTAAATATGAGTAATTCTCGTCAAACTTGGAAAATATTGTCACTTATGACAATGTACTGCCATGCTTAAAGCTTGGTAATACCAAAACATTGGAGTAAATTTTGAAGATGACAAAATATCTTATTCTTATTATATTTATTGAAGAAAAAACATGATACTTCTATTTTAATATTTCCAAACATTTGTTTGTTGTTATAGAATTACAGCGGAAAGATGACAATAATTTTCTTAATAGTCAAATGATTAAAATTGAAGAACCTTCACGACACCAAAAGTGTCTCTTGTGACTACTAAAGTAAAACTCATGCATAGTATGAAGTATATATATACGTAGTATTTAGCTTTGGCAGAATCAACCGTTCTTCGGTGTACACGTTTCGGATATACACGCTCAATTATACGTTTTTTGGTCTTTCAATGGTGCCTTAATTCATATAGACGCAAATATGTTACATAGTTACTAAAGAAAAAAGTTGTCATAGGAGTAAAAACACTCAAAAATTCAACAATGCAATACTATATCGTAAATACCATAGTATGAGTATTTCCCGTCAAATTTGGAAAATACAATGGAGTATCACTTATGGCAGTATTAGTACACTACCATGTCTAATACTAGTAACTCGTAATACCAAAACAATGCAATAAATTTTCAAGATGACATTAGCACAATCTTATTATATTTATGGAAAAAACTATGATACTCTTATGTTCACGTTTTATACTTTTTATTGTCAGTGACATACTTAAAGCATCTCCAATATTACAATGTGCACGATGCATATGTGACATGAGAGAGATATAGACACAAAATAATACATTCACGCCATTTCTCTTTTTTTCTTTCCACGATCTTAATTATGCGTATTTGGTAAGTTTTTCTCAACAATGTCAACAACAATGTCTACATCTTGACATTGTGTTTGACGTTGTGAAGAAAAACATACCAAAAACATATATGACCGCCGTTCAAATAAGGAGAAAGATGTTCTACTTACAAACTTTTATGTGTCTATCTCTTTCATGTCACGTGTGCATCATTCACATTTTTGTATTGGAGATGCTTTTAGTCATTCAACTTTGTCATATTTCCGGCCTATCCACCAATCCATTGTTGTGAATTGTGATAGAATTACAGATGAAATAGTAAAACTTACCCAATAATTTACTTAATAGTCAAAAGATTAAAATTGAAGAACTTTCAAAACAACATCAAAAGTTTCTCTTGTGACTACTAAAAGTAAAACTCATGCGTATTAGGAAGTACTACGGATGTATTTGGGCAGAATCAACTGTATTTTGGTATGCACGTTTCAGATATACGTAGTACATTACACGTTTGACTATACTATACACACACACAATTTACTTTTTCTAGACCCACTACCTATGTACAAAAAAGTGTACAAAAAAGTAAAAAAAAAACAAAGTGTGCAAACATTTATGTGCAAAAAAAGTGTGCAAACATAATTTTCCACATAAACACAGAATTGAAGTAGAAAGTCGTCTGACCTGAAGCTTTGCTCTTATCTTGTCCGAGAGATAATATTCCTTCATTATATACTTCCCATCGTGTTCTTTTAATTCTTTATTTTCGTATCTCAAGCTCCTCTTGTATCCTATAAGTTCTGGCACAGAACCGGACATGTAAATAGGCTTTCCTCTATCCTGCGCTTTCCACGTCCCCATCTCGTCTTCGTCCCCGATCCTACGGCTATAGCGGGCGTTCCCGGGCCTCCTCTTTTTCAACCGCGTGAAGAAGTACAAGATATTTTCTTTTGACGTCTCAAAAAGCTCCCACGGCTCTATTCCGTCGTACAGGTCCTTCTCCGGTATCGGAACCGTCGAATCTACTGGTTTCCCGATGAGAAAAAAGCACAGGAATTGCAGTAGTTGTACATCGGACGGCCGGAATAAGCAGTCTCCGGGAAGGCCTCGCCGTACCATGATGAGGAGCAACGGCAGAAAAACGACAAAAACAACTGTATACGTTTTGCTAGATTTTGTTAAACACGATCTGTGTCGTTCGATAAAACACGATTGCTTTAAGGTAAATAAACGCTTTATGTGGTAAATGCGGCGTTATGTTTAACCTACTCCGATCCGTATACTACGTATATTTATAGGCGTTTTGATTCATGCGAATTGGAGTCCAATTTGGTTTAGGAAACTGGGCCTAATATAAGTTGACAAATGACAGTTGTACGTGTGAGAATTTTTGGATACTTATTAATACTCCGTACAATACTTACTTTTTCTATCAAAATACGTATGTAGTACGATAAAAACTATCCCATTTTATCAATAGGAAAGACTAAAGAGTAGGGAGAGTAAGTACAAGAGTAGGCATAACGGTATTATATTGTTTGTGACTTATTCTTATTTTATTCAAATTAGAATCAAATCACAAAAGTTCACATCAAAGATTTAAATTAGATCACATCAAATTAGGTAACAAATATTTAAGGCTATGTTTGGCACACAAAAGGCTCTAACTTCTAGCCTCTCTATTCTTTAAAAAGACTTTTTTTATGGTAAAAAGACCTTAAAAGACTCTAGTTGTATGTTTGGCATGACATTTCTTACGAGCTTTTGAAAAATTAAAAGATCTTTTTTGAGATGATACCGCGTGTGACATCTGAGAAAAGCTCGTGACTTTTAGTATTAATTAGTCCTAACATCTTGTATACCAAACTGAACAAAATCAAACAGTCAGTTTTTTGCCAAACAACTATCACATTTTTCTTTTAAGATCTTTTCAGTCACTAAAAGGAGTAAAAGCTAACAGTTACTAAAAAACCCGTAAAAGTATCTTTTTAGCTAATTGTGCCAAACATACCCTAAATCAGATCTGATCAGAAAGATTCAAATCAGACCAAAAACATTCAGATCATACTAGTATAATACGTAGTAATAATAATTATAGTAATAATAAACATTCAATCAGATCAGAAGTATTCAATCAGATCAAATAAGAAAGATTCAGATCAGGTTAGATTAGAAAACATTAGATCAAATCGGACCAGATCTTAAAAATTGAGATCAGAAATATTCGAACATAACGACTTCTAATTTACTTTCCCCTCGATTCTAATCCCGGATTTGCTGCTCCAATTCCCAAGGCGGTCCCGATTTTTATATTTTTATACTCCCTCCATCCCATAATGAACTTCTCAGTTTGACTTCACACAGATTAAGAAAATAAATTTGACTTTACTGTGGAGTGCACTGTTTAAACACTGTTTGACACTTTTTTGATGTAGATTATTTGCCAAATAAAGAAAGTTTTGAAGTGTGAAGTTAATTTCAGGACTGCCCGAAAAGGTAAGTGAGAAGTTAATTTTGGGATGGAGGGAGTATATTTTATTATACCATTGTGATCCCCTTCTCTATCCCACTTTTAGCTTTTGATTTACACATCTTTTGAAATTCTTTAAATGCTAGAATTGCAAAAAAAATCAAGATCAAACCCGGTGGCGTATTTAGAAAATACTCTCAGAGGTGCCGAAATCATATTAGAACTTGGTCACATACTACACAAATAGCAAACCACATTATTAATATTCCTCGATTAGATTTAGTTTATGATATATGCGTACAAGTATGTCTTAAAAAATCAATTTATATTACGTGTGTGCAAATATGCAATTGTAGATGAATTTGAGTATCATTGGTTCTTAAAATAAGATTACATTAATCCTATATTTAGGGGGAAAACGCTCATAATCAGTTTTAGAATTGTTCCTATGTTATCCCATGAACCAGCCGTTTCTAGTTTCGATCGGTCCCAAACCAGTGAATTTCGGTCCACACCTATGCCAGACTGCCAGAGGTTCATGGAACATGTTTTACAAGACTACGTATTTTAGATATACTACATATAAGCATATAATATATTTAACAGAAATTTCCCTAATTAGGAGTAAGAACGTTTTGAAATTCTAAAATAGGAGTATCATGTTTTTTATTCTCTGAATAGGAGTAATCTGCCATGTTTGAAAAAAAATTTCATGTTTTAAAGCCTTGTAATGCCCAAACTTGGCAGAAATTTACTCCTATTTAGAGAATAAAAACATGATACTTCTATTTTGGAATATCAAAACGTTTTTACTCCTATTTAGGGAATTCTCTCTATATTTAAACTTTATAAAGAACTTAGTAGTTTAATAACTTATAATCCACATCTTTTATCTTTATTTTTATATTCCCAAAGTCCCACTGGATTTTTCCAAATTTCCCTTTTTATTTTTACACAATTTTAATATTATAATTTCAAACCCAACATCAACTTGATAATGTTGAGTTGGACGGAATTAGTATAATACAGAGGTAGTATAACACGGAATATAAAGTAGCAAAGTTGTTATAATTTTTCGAGTGAAAATTCTCATCCCAATTTAGGGCATAATGGTAAATTAGTGTATGTATAACTAACAATTAAATGATAGAGTGTATACGTAAAAAATTGAAATAAAATGTTAGAGTATATGGTAATTGGAGCATATATTGCCCTCAAATCCTTATCAAAATCTTTATCTTTATATGTTTATATACTATCATCTGTCTCTTTTTAATCGCAACATGTTGAATTTTACACTATTCACATGTTCTACTTTGACTACATTTTATATTATTATTATTTTATGAAAGTTATTTTAAAAAAAAATATTGTTCAATTCATCTCATTACAAATTTTCAAAATCTAATTTTAAGTATTTTTTACTAATAGAGATTAAGATATAATTATGGTCAAAGACGTGCGTTGATAAGTGTGAAATGTTGACCGTTTCAATCGGAAGAAATATATATATAAATATATACTCCGTATAAAAAGGGAATCGGTTGAATTGTGGAATAATTGTTCGAGCCTAGACATAATGCGCAATCCATGTCAATGCAAGTTCCGCATAGTAAGGCATGACTGACTCATTAGCAATATAATACGGAGTAATAAGGAGTATTTTGGAACAATACACATATATGTACCCTTTTTTTGGGAACCAAAATGATTTTATTGATATAAACCAAAACAGTACAATTGGATAAAGAAGAAAAAAACAGAACATAGTACAAAAAAAGAGAGTAAATTAATTATAAGAGCTAGTCCCATGAGAAATCTCTAGATTGAGACCTTGTTGTCATACTGTGTTGCCTCTTGTTCTATTGAGATTTCCTGTATATTTTAGGTTGCGTGTTCAGATTCTCAGTTGGCAGGTAATCCTATGAGGTTACAAAATTGGCTTTATGGCAAATCGTGGTTGAATTTGGACTTTCTAATTTCTTGCGGGTATGAGATAGGAGGATGACGTTCACTTTCGGTTGCATGTCCCAAGAAGTCATCTGTGAACAGGGAGTCGTCTGAATGATCAAAATTGTCCGAGGCATCTGAGTAAGCCTGGATTTGTGGCAACTGGGGTTGTTTTTCAGAAGAGAAGACTTGTTGATTCTCGACGCCTGCTGCCTTGATTTGATAATTAAAAATCAGTTTCGATATGGATGTGGGTTCCTTGATTTATGACATTCTTCCGTGTTGAAAAAATATTGAATCGTCCTGCACTGATTTTGAGAGCCATACAAAATTCGAAAAAATATTAAGGAATTTAAAAAGGCTCGAATTGTGGTGTCCCATGGGTATCTGAATAAAGCTTCCTTTGTGTTTCACCATTTTAACAAAGTAGCCCACTCTGTTAACATCCACAGAGATCGTGACATCTCCAAATCGCCTTTTGTTTTATATCAAAGTTTGCGTGATCGATATTTGTGAGTTCGGAGATGAACCGGATGATTTGAGGGACAAGCTCAAGTTTTAGGTAGAGCTTGTGCATAAGAGATCTTTTAATTTTAAAAAGGACCAAATCTTTGTTACATATTGCAAATTTGAACGTTTTTGTTCCAATTTTGATGGAGTCAAAGCCATATTCTCTAAAGGAGTATTTTTCTGAAGGATCAGTAGATGCTCGAATTACCTCCCTCGTAGTTATCTCCGTATTTAATCCCGAGATGCTTGGTCGTACATTCGTATGGGTAATGACCGCCTGCCCTGAAGGAAAGCTGGTTGTATTATTGTTGTTCAAGACAATCTCAGAGCCTTCATATATATATATAGGGTTGGGTTCAAGTAAAAAGTCATCCTCACATGAAAAATAGGAATAAATCTTATACGTTGAAATGAGAGATTTAAATGGCCAAGATACAAGGACTTACCGTTATTTCAGTGCACTAGATGTAGACAATTAAAGACATTAAGGGGGGTGTATTCAATTTGGATTGTTGTGGACTTTTTTTAATCCATGAACTTTTAAAAAAGTCAATGGACTTTTAAATCCATAGACTTTTTTATGAATGAATTCTATGGACTTTTAAATCCATGGATAAGTTTATTGACTTTCAAAAAGTCCATAGACTTTTAAATGCGGACCGCCACTGCTGGTCGTCAAAATTTTCACCTAGATTGTCGCTACCGATATGCCTGTGACCTGTCCGCATCCATCACCGGAGTTCCCCGCTGTCGTCATCGGATTGACGCGTCACCAACAAAATGGCTTTGGTTCTGAAAGGGAACTAGGGACAATTAATTCTATTAATTAATTAAATTAGGGGTGAATATGTAATATTTATTCCCATTTAAGAAAAACCAAACATTTAATCATACTTTAAGAATAATTCTACTGCCGTATGTTTTAGTCCTACCGTGAGTGATTTCCTCTATATAATACGGAGTACGATAAGAAATAAATAAGTAAATAAATAAATAAATAAATAAATAAATAAATAAATAAATAAATAAATAAATAAATAAATAAATAAATAAATAAATAAATAAAAAATAAATAAATAAATAAATAAATAAATAAATAAATAAATAAATAAATAAATAAATAAATAAATAAATAAATAAATAAATAAATAAATAAATAAATAAATAAATAAATAAATAAATAAATAAATAAATAAATAAATAAATAAATAAATAAATAAATAAATAAATAAATAAATAAATAAATAAATAAATAAATAAATAAATAAATAAATAAATAAATAAATAAATAAATAAATAAATAAATAAATAAATAAATAAATAAATAAATAAATAAATAAATAAATAAATAAATAAATAAATAAATAAATAAATAAAT